TATTACAACACGAAGACGCATGTATTGCAATATGAACCTCCTCCCTCTCCGATGCCAAATTGCAGTGGATGTGGTGGATGGGGAGTGGGCCTTGTCCAGAGCTGGGGCTATTGCTCCCACTGTACCAGGTCCGTCCACTGTCTTGTTATACTTTTTGAGTCAGATTGCTGCATACTGTGGCTAGCTTTCTTTCTTGGTTGGGTTTTGTGTTATTAGAAATCATCTAGTAGTGTGCATGTAAGACCTTAGAGACAGACTTTGTTTACTTGCACATTTTTGAGGATTATTTCTCTCTGCCTTTGATTAAATGGACTTATACTATATGGAATGCAGAGTTTACAATCTCCCTGAACACCAATACTTGGCGGCAAGTTAAACTACTTGACAAATATAGGAGATTCTAGCCAAAAGGATCCGAATCAGAGGTCCACTTCAAAACCTCCCATGGAAAATAAAGGATCAGGCAAAAAACGTGCTCATGCCGAGGATGACGAGTTGGACCCAAGCTCTTACTCAGATGCTCACGTAGATTGTGATTCTGTTTCGAGAGGCCAAAGTGAAAGAGAGAGTTAGATTGTGATTCTAATCACATCCTGGATGGATGCTACAGCATTGTCCATTTGACAATCAACAAAATCTTTACAGATATTAGTTTACTTCCATTTGGAAGGTTACAAGGAAAATTAAGCAAAATCTATATAGGTCCAATTTCCAACATCCGATTCATTATTAAATCGGTCGTTGTTCAGTGAGATATAATCTGTCGTTCTCAGCTTCGGTCTTTTCTTTTGTACCCTTGAATCCAATATCACTAGTATTTCTGGTAACAAATTTACATTCATTTTGTTTACTTCCATTTTTCATATGTAGATACTTTACTTTAGTAGGTAACAATTAAAAATGCTAATATGTTGACATAAAATTGTATTAGTGGCGCTATCCATTTTAATCAATGTTTGATATATACAGTCTAATTTTATTTTCTGCGTACTAATATATTCTGAAGATACTACTGAACCAATCTTTATTACCGGTCATACTAAAATTGGTTAGAGGGAAAAAAAAAGATTCATATGAAGTATCACGATAGGTCTCTATGAGGCTCGCATTAATTTATAGTTTGGATTCCAAAAATTAATCTCTACTTAATAATGATCCGTAGATAAATACTTGTAACATATTTTCAAGAATTGCCCTCTAATAGACTCGATTATTCTCTAAATATATGGTACTCGAATCCCAATCTAATCTACCACTAACCGTGACACCACCGACAAAGAAGAAGATAGATCATATCGAGAGAGAGAGAGAGACTCAACTACTGGTTTTGGCATATATTCATTGCTTTGTCTCTTCACTTATCACACTCCTCTCTTAGTCATACTTTCGTGACGACGTGACAACAAACATCAATGATACTATAACTACTTGTGTGTCACTAATTTGATCATTGCCATTAATCACATGACATCATCTATTAGTTTTGTCGGATTCTCACAAGTCTCTCTACTAAAGGTCTAAATGGTAACCGCAGAATTTTTGCTGAATTTGCCGAATTACTTTTGATTTTTTGTAGAATTTGCTGAATAATATCAAACTTAAATGGTAACAGCAGAATTTGCTGAATTTGCTGAATTTTCTTAAAACAGTAATTACTGTTGAATTTTTGCTGAATTACTGTTGAATTGCTGAATTTGTTGAATTTTTAGTGATTTTTTGCGGAATTTGCTGAATAATGAGTCTAAATGGTAACGT